GCCAGATCCTCCATTACGTCAAAGGCGAAGAAGCTGAACCACGTGGTCATGTTAATGGGTTGCTCTTGGTGTCTGTCGACGACTTGGAGTAGCTCGGTGATTGCCTTTGTGATACGAAAGTCGTAGCCGTGAAGAGCTGTTGGGTATCAGACGGTGCATAGAATTGTCAGAATTAACCAGTGTTTATGGCGATTGGGTCTCAATTGACACGTACCTTTTGTTGTAAAAGCCAGATCCCACGTCTTTCGCCTGCGGGCATGCTCCCGCTTGTCGCGTACCATGAAGACGGGCGTGCGTGGTTCAAGCAGAGTGTACCATGGGCCTTTGGTAGTAGGTGACTTGCTCCCGTATATGGCCTCGACTGCCTTGGGATCGGCAATGGAGAGCTCAGACGGACCTTTGGGTGTAAAGATGGTGTAAGTCAAGGGTGCCAGACCAAGCTTCATTTTTCCCCTCTTGTTTGCGGCTTACCCAGGCGTACATAGTCACCGTACTGCAGATGTAGCTTTTGAACCTCTTTGAAGAGCTGAAACTTGCTCACCGATCGAGCGGTGATGTAAAAATTTGTGAGCGAGGCGAGGACCGGACCGGGATACTTGCAGAGGCGATGGAGATATGCGCGGTACATCATCATGCTGGCGTATAGTCCTGCGACGTAGTATCCCAGACAAGTCATTAGTTCAGAGACGGAAAGTCCGAGAAGTTGAACACGAGATGCAAATAAAGCTGTTGCGACCAAGAGGGCATGGAAGACGAAGATGGACGGAGAAGCAAGATCCCATTCACCCACACGGAATACCAGGACGTGTGCGGAGACGCCGCATATGCTGGCAAGCAGTCGGGCGTTTGTGAGTTGCATTGTGGACAATGTCTAGATTTTGTTTGTTTGCAGAATAGTTGAAGATGTCGCGCCAAAAGGGGCAAGATGAAGGAATCGCGAATGACTGTCATGGACTCATGCATGCCGATAAAGGAGGTTCAAGGCGGTGCGGCCAAGGAGATTTGCAGTCTGGATAATATATAATCCTCGGACGGCACGGCACGCAATGCAATGCATCATGCCGTCCAGGGTGAGCGAGTTCTGTACGACTGCATGAGAATATTCCAAGGTGGCCCTATGCCATATGGTCAAGGCCATGGAGATGCGGCATGAAGTAACTCTGCGATACTCGACACAGGAGCCCGAGAAAAAATCATCGTGCTCATTAATCAATGTGTGGGATACTTGATTGAAGCAAAAATACAGCACATCAAGGGCCAGAGTCTTGCATAAGGCAGGCGCGACTTGACATGGAGACAAGTTGCTCTTTGCCTCGTTCCATGCCGTCTTTGCAGCCCATATTGGGAAGGGCCCCGCAGTAATACGTGCACATGTGAATGCGCATTTTGTCATTAATTAACTTGTTTTTTGTTTCCCTCATCAATTGACATTATTCCATGTTTGAAATGGAAGTCTAGCATTTCGTTCCTGGAGCGGGCATCATCACACACAAAACATGGCGCAGCCAGGACGTAGCTATGGATGTATATCTTGTCCTAGTGATACCCCGGTTGCTACGGAGTATACGATGAGTAGCTCCATCCAGTCAGTATTCCATAGTCAACTTGTCGTTGCTTAGTGCCATCTGACTCCATACATCCTTTATCACGCCAGGCCCCACGATGTCATGATGATCATCGTCCACCACGAGCGTCATCACTACACATTTGCGCAACATACATCCATCCATCTGCAAGACGCAAAATTGTCCCAAGATGGCTTCCGTGCCACCTCCCGAAAACGACATGGATCCCATACGCCTCACGGGTGCGCAAGAAACGCTTCTCATTACGCTGTACGGGAGATGGCAAGACTTCTACTCGCCCAGGCCGCTCCTCGCTGATCGCTATTCCGCAGACGTCATGGCACGAATTCTGGACAAGGCGGCAGAAACACGCCATCGAATGAGGGGAGCGCTATCGGGTCTGCCATTCATAGTCTTGCGCGCCCGCCTCTTGGATGAATGGGCCGCCGACTTCTTGGCCAACAATGAGCGCGCAACCGTCGTCCATCTTGCCTGCGGCCTGGACACGCGCGCCTTGCGCCTGCGCGATAAGTGTGGCGACGGGGTGACATGGATCGATGTCGACTTTCCAGACGTAATCGACCTGCGGCGCCGCATCGAGATACCAGAGCCGGCGTCCAAGACTGACGGGTACACGTACGAAATGCTCGCGTCCTCCGTCGTTGAGCCAGAATGGCTGGTCAAGTTGCCGACAGGAAACCCTACGCTCGTCATCTTCGAAGGCCTGACAATGTACTTGTCGCCCGAGGACGGCCAACTCTTGATCAAGCGGCTGATGGACCGCTTCGGCTCCGGCCAGATGATTTTCGACAGCATGCCGAGATCAACTCGGTTTTTGCTAAATGCCTTTCTCTGGCTCAGGGGACACTGGAACTTTACCTTTAACTGGGCCATTGACGACCCCAGAACCCTGCGGGAGTTGCATCCCGGCTTGGAGCTGTTGACCTTGGTTCGTATGTGGGACATGCCTGGCCATGAGCATTTGGCTTGGTGGTTGCGTCTCTCGGCCTTTGTCGCTTCTTGGATTCCGACCCTGAGGAGCCCAATGCAATTGACGAGATTCCAATTCTAAATAAAATGGTAGTCTACATCTTGGCGAGGCTGGCGCCGATTTTGCTTAGCACACCAAGAGCTGCTTGCTTCTCCTACTTTGGCACTATTCACATGGAATCGAGATACGGTGCAGTGCACAAGATCAATGGACACGGTTGTGCGTGAGCATTGGAAACTACATCACAACTCCAGTTTCTAAGCCAGTACAAGATGCCTTCCAACGTTGCCAGCAAAACAATGTTGTCATTCCATATGATCAAGGCACGCCCCTTCACATCCAAATGCTTTGCTTTAGCCTATACCTCTGATACAATCGCTCCGTGACCGTCATCATGCTTGGACGTGTTTCATACACGTACAGTGTCAACATTGACAACGGACGTGACGGAAGGATGAGTCCTTGGTGCTGCTCCTTTGGTTCTGCAAAGCTATACACACGATGAGAATACAGAGCGAATCATGTAGGCGTGTAAATAAAGAGACGGCACCTTTCAGAGACTGACCTTTTCACAGGACCAGTACATTGCTCGTGCGTTTGCGACGCGAGGTCCTCAAGGTTTTGGGTTAAAATTGTGATTGACGAATGATTTGACGAAGCTCCCATTTTGTCACTGGAGTTTGATCTGTCCATCATACTGCATTACACATTTCACCGAGGACGTAGAATGGGGGAGGAGACGATTCATATAGAGGATGAAACACATTGCTCAAATATACAGTTGTTGAATAGCAACATGACGCACAACCTTGCGTTGTAGTGCCAACACACAGTGCTATAGTAATCATACAAAGCACTAATGGATGCCTCGAGCATCTTGCTTAATGTGTAACCCGGAGCACCACCAGATTGGCTCGGGCCCAACGCCGAGCCCGGTTCCCAACCGATGAAGCGTGGGCTGACGGGCTCGATGCATGGGCTTTTTGGATAGCCAATGAAGCCGGCGGAGGAAGAAAGTGACGGCTGAATGTGCCATGCTCAGCTGAAATACCCTTGGCTGAGATGAGCATGTCGCGACATTCACGTTGATGAGACACACACACAATCACATCACTCAGCCTCAACCAACGTGTCGAAACCCGGAAACACGTCCAACAGGAACTTGACACCCTGCTGCATATATGATTCACCGGAGCCTGATGTGAAGCAGTATTCTCTATCTAGCATGACATGTGCACGAGTCTACATGCATCAAAATACCTTGTGCTTGAGATGGGGCACTTATACCCGCGCAGGTAAAAAAAAAAAAGCAATACAGGACTCGCCTGCAAGCTTGGGGCTTGACAAGGACAGGAATTCATGAAATGACGGCCATTTCCCAAATCCAACAAAGACGGGAAATGGAGGGATATTTCCACTAAAGATGTGAATGTAGGTGGTGCGTCGCCGGCGTATTGTTGGCCTCTCGGCTTTCTGAGGGAGAAGATACCAAAGAGCTTTGAGCATGAGCAGGAGCACGAATACGTTTCGCGTGCAGTGATTAGCTGAAAGGCTCACCTTTTGATGTGAATTCCGCATCTGTAATGTAATGCAATGCAATGCAAGGGGTGTACACGAAATATAAGGAGGCCGCCAGCTACACGACGTCTTGCCCTACCATGTCATCGATTACACACATCAGCAAGAAAATAAACCCTAGCTATGCATAAATTCTTTATTGTATTCACATAGTGTACATACAGGCTATTTACTTACTCCCGTTGAGGAAACCTTGCCCGCTGAAGTTTGTCATCTTGGCCGTCTTTGAGCTGCGTACCATACATATCCTTGTTTCTCGGCATTTCCACAGACCAACGCGATGAAATCATCTTTCCATTCCCAACCTGCCTTGTAGCAAGGCGCGCTACATCTCTACGCTCCGCCGGATTCAAAAAGACTACACAATCACGGCGCCGACTCTCGGGCCTTGTTTGCCACCACTAGGTATCCGTGGTTCTGAAACCAGCCGTCTATGTCGCTGTAACTGTCTAGTACACACAAGATGTAGGCCCGAGATATTTTCCATCACTGGCTTGAATGCGATTCAGACACTTCAACACTAGTCAAGACGAGAGATACAAAAATCACGAGGCATTGAGATGCTACAGCGTATCTAACAATAATTTTGTGCCGAAGTTATATAAATAATAAAACAAATTTTCGCTAGTTACATTCCCCGAGGAGCACAATCCCAGACTCGACGGCAGAGAAGCATCAAAATATGATACAATGAATATATATGGTGTTGAACCAGAAACAGAGCTTCAGATATCAACAATCGCGACACGTTCCCGTCAGCCGGGGAGTGCTCACCAGGGGTACCGTGGAAAAACTAGGAAAAATGCTAAACATGCTCAAGTCGTGCCTCACACTCGGGCGAGAGCCTGAAAAGGGACCCCCCTTCTTTACCACGGCAGCTTGGTCTTGGTCGGGCAGGCCTTCTTGGTGGTGGTGACGGTGACGGGAGGCTTCTTGGTGCAGGTGGGAGTAGGCGTGCAGTGCTTGCTGTCGATGGCGGTGACGGTGACGGTAGAAGCAGCCGGGCAGGTATCACTGGCCGGGGGAGCAGCACTCGTCACCGGAGGAGCTCCCGTCGTTGCGGGAGGAGCTTCCGTCGTGGCCGGGGGAGCTTCCGTTGTCGCGGGAGGAGCGGCAGACGAAGATGGAGGAGCTTGCGTCGTCGCAGGAGGAGCTTCAGACGTCGCCGGGGGGGCGGCAGACGTCGCGGGAGGAGCAGCAGAGGAGCTCGCGGGAGGCGTGGCCGAGTTCTTGCAGTTGGCCGGGCCGACGGCATCCTGAGCATCCTGGAGGTCCTTGAGGAGACCGGCCACGATGCCCTGGGCAATGCCCTGAGCGGCCGAAGGGACCTTGGACACGACGCTGTCGATCAGGGCCTTGGCGGCCGTGTTGATGTCACTGGTCTGGGTGAAGGTGACCTCGCACATGCCGGCCTTTTCGATGGTAGGCACGGCAGTCTTGAGATCGGCCAGGAGGGCGTCGCCCTTCTTCTGCAGCTCGCCGGCCGGGGCCTGGAGGCCAAGCGCATCAGCCAGAGTCAGGTCGCTCGAAGGGTCGACCTTGGCCTTGCCGTCCTTGAGCGCCTGGATGAGCGTGTTTGAAGCGGCCAGGACGGGGGCCGGGTCGCCGGAGAAGCCCTTGATGGCGGTGCCCAAGCCGTCGATGCCCTGGCCGGCAGACGTCATGGCCGCTTGGATGGTGGCCAGGTCACGCTGGACGAGGACGCCGGCGTAGGCGCCGGAGGCCAGGGTAGTCAGGGCGAGGAACTTCATTGTGGGCAATTTGTGTTTTGGCTCTTCAGGTGGGAAGTCGAGTTGGTCAGGGAGGCAGAAGGATGAGGGTGCTGATACTCTGGGTGTTTCAATTTCGAAAGCTGCAGATCCCAAGGCTGCCTCTTTATACCCGGGAGACTGAACGCCATGGCTTCTCACATGGTTCTCACGGGAGTCTTGTTCAAGCCGAGTCGACTTGTTGAAATGGACCATGAATCGACGACGGCGACGGCGGCGTGGCGTCAACGTTGGATGTTGGATGTCGATGTTCCTGGCATCATGGACACTTACACGGACTTGGCTGACGTTGGGGCCGAGCTAGACCCCAGACCCCAGATTGTGGCGTCGTCCGTCCGTTTCGTATTGACGGCCAAAACGCCGCCCGGGACATGTGCTCGATCCAATAAAGATCTCGACCCTCGCTTGCCCTGTTGTGGCAGCTCGATTCCCTTGACAGAGTTGGGCATGTTGGGGAAACCTTGCGCAAGTGGCGCTCAGCTCTCCGGGGAAAGAGGGGAAACATGGCACGCACATGCATGTCCTTTGCCAAGTCAAGTTTTGTCGAGTTGAGCAGGTCATGTCAAGAGTCAATCGCAAGTTGCAACTTACAACCACCTCGGCACACATGCGCACACATGATAGTGGAGGCAATTTTTGTACGAGAAGAACAAGTCGGCACCAGCTGAGAAGGTGTTCGAATCGAGGTCTTGTTGCGAAACTATCCTCCCCGAGCTATTGTTTGCATGCATGCTAGTCTTGTTAGTTGTCCGGGTTGTGTTGTGTTGTGTTGTGCGGTGTCATCTCCTGGGTTAGGTTGCAACTTGTCTTGGTTGGCCGACGGATGTGCCCCCGGATCAGCCATGAATCAATGATGTCTTTCTCATTTAACAAGAAGGAGTGATGAGTGCCAACTAGTCTCGATCGAGCATCCGTCCGGCGCCGGGTGAGTTATCGAGCAACACCGAGCGGCGCATCATTACTCTCTTCAACTACACTCGACTTCTGATGATGAATCCTCGTCTCCTCCTCTCTCACCCCTTTTTTCGTGACTGACTTGGATATCCTATCCCGCCTTTGGGACTATCCAGCAGTTTCCACTCCGACCAGACCCAATAAATAGCCGTCAGCCCTTTCCCACGAGTTCCACCACCCCTTGAGTGTATTGGTGGAACCTTTTTCCATCCTGGCTGTCCCTGGGCCTTGCGCCGGATTTCTCGGGTTACTCGGGGCCTCCCGAGGGACCAATTCCCCCTTTCCAACTTGCAGTGCCAGGGTGCACGTGGGTGTTCCTAGTTGAAAAAGTGGCTGGCACAAGGGCCACCCGCCTCTTCCCTATCAGCAAGCCATAAACGTCCGCGGAGTAACACCGTAGAAGCAATTTATAGGCATTTTTCCACCGCCTACAGACAAGAAGTGATAAAGAAGGCGTTACCATCTTGACAGGGTCGAATCCGCATCGCCGCACTTTGTGGCGTTCCGCTGCCGCAGCTCAAGAGTCTTGTGTACAAATCTACACATCATGGTTGCGACCGGGCTTTCTGATCGGCGACAAGACATGCAATATGACGGGCGTTTTGATACTCCACAACAAGTGCTTTGGATTTTATTCATTTGTTTCCTTTTTCTCTCCAGCGGTGCTGTCGCTGCTGTGCCCATTCTATCCTTTGCCTTGTTCCCTACAACACTCAGCAGTGGGCGGCAAAAAGCATTTGACCAGATTGGGTACTTGGCCTTTGTATTCCGTACCATGCTATCCACAGCATGGCAGTGAATAACTACCTGTTGGGCAAATAGCGATATTCTGCCACTGACTGTGAGTCAAGTGTTGAGTCTTTAGCAACCATGGCTTGTTGGGTTCGCCGTTGTCGGCAACTCATTTGCTCCCGACCAAGACACTACATATGTAACTCCCTTGGCCCAATACAGCGATATACATATCCGAATGCACTAGTACTCCGAATCAATCAAGCGCGTCACCCGTGTCATGACTGCTCCGATGGAAGTCGTCGTCGTTTGATTTCGTACTCTCTGGCCATCCTCAACCTTGTACCGCTTTGCATTTTGAATCCCTCCTTGTCGTACAGCCTTGTCCTCCGGCCCAGTCGACGCAACAGCAGCCTCCGCTCCTTTGGCGCCAGCACTTGACGATGCGTCACCATGACCGTGACGCCGAGAGGAGAGCGAGCGATTTAACAATAGACGCCGCGCCACCCGCCGCCGACGACGAAACCCGCGCCCTAGGCGCCTTTGGCCAAGATGTCAAAGTCCACCGGGCCTTTGAAGAGGTGGCGCGCGCTCAACGCGGCCTGAAGCAGCGACACATCCAGATGATAGCCCTCGCCGGCACCATCGGCACGGGACTCTTCCTCGCGACGGGCCGGGCTCTCGCCAACGGAGGGCCGCTGGGCCTGCTCCTGTCGTACGCCATCGTAGGCGCGCTCATGTGCGCCGTCGTCGTGTCCATCGCCGAGCTGAGCGCCCTCGTCCCTCTGTCGGGCGGCATCGTCCGCCACGCCGAGTGGTTTGTCGACCCGGCCCTGGCCTTTGCCCAAGGCTGGAACAGCACCTATGCGAACGCGATCCTGCTGCCGGCCGAAATGGTCGCGTGCGCCGTCATCATCGACTACTGGACGCACGTCAACCACGCCGTGTGGATTACCCTCCTCGGCGGCCTCTTGATCGCGAGCAACCTGCTGCTCATTGGCGTCTACGGCGAGCTCGAGTTCGTCCTTGCCCTGCTGAAGATCGCCCTCATCGTCGGCGTCAACGTCATGGTTCGTGTGGACTGCCGGTTGATGTTTCCCTTGATGGCTGACTGCTGACGTTTATGCCGCCGCAGAGCATCTGCATCACGGCCGGCGCGGGACCGCACGGCGAGCCCATTGGCTTTCGCTTCTGGAGGAGCCCGGGGCCGTTTGTCCAGTACGCCGGCATCCCCGGCTCCTGGGGCCGGTTCGTCGGCTTCTGGCGCGTCCTGGTCAGCGCGGCGTACGCCTTCTCCAACGTCGAGAACATCTCTGTTGCCGGGGCGGAAACGCAGAACCCCCGGCGCAACATCCCCCGCGCGGCCAGGCGCGTCTTCTGGAGAATCATGGTGTTTTACATGCTCACCGTCTTCTGCATCGGGCTCATCGTCTCGTCGGCCGATCCGGCCTTGACGGCGCGCTCCGGCGATGCTGGTGCCTCGCCGTTTGCCATTGCCGCCACCAACGCCGGCATCAAGGCTGTGCCGTCCATTATCAACGCCGTGGTCGTGACAAGTGCCTGGAGTGCTGCCAACTCTGGTAAGTCCCACGGCTGCTCCGTGATATTGCAACGGGTGGAAACGACTTACACGCGTCTTTGTAGCCATGCTCGTGGGGACGCGAACCCTCTATGGCCTTGCTCTTGAGGGACATGCGCCCAGCTTCTTCAAGCGTACCAACCGCTTCGGCACTCCGTGGCTTTCTGTGGCCGCGGTGGGATCGCTCATGGTGCTGGGCTATCTGACGCTCTCGTCCGCGGCGTCAGTCGTCTTTGGTTGGATGCAGGCCCTTGTCTCGGCGGCCTCGTTTGTGCACTGGATCAACATTGAGATTGTATACCTCCGCTTCTACTACGGCTGCAAAGCGCAGGGCATCAGTCGAGACGAGCTTCCCTGGAAAGGCCCTCTCCAGCCATATGCGGCATGGACTGCCCTGGTGTCGTTTACCATTCTCTTGATCACCGGCGGATTCTTCGTCTTCATCGACGGTCACTGGAGCGCCCAGGGCTTCGTATCATCCTACTTTAACATCCCTCTCATTCTCATTCTCTACTTTGGATACAAGTACTGGCGCAAGACAACGCTGGTGTCGCTGCACGACATGCCGATTCGGGGGTTCCTGGACGTGGCCAGCCAGAACCCAGAGCCTGTCGAGCCACCCGCCAAAGGATGGGCCAAGCTGAACATTCTATGGGCGTAATGGTCCCGAGTAAGGTAGTTGATCTACATTTGTACCTCCATGCTTTGCGATTGACGGCATTGTAGGCGTGGCGTCCGTCTTCATCACACGCTCTTGCGAGTGCATAATATACATGGCAAGGCAGCGTGGGACACGTAATATTTTGTGCAAGCGCTCCTAGGTTTCTCTCTATGCAGTATATAGATAGGCACAATCAGCGACGACTTCCAAGTTCCAACTACACATGAAGTCTTGGGGACTGGCGGTCGCACATAGGTAACCATGACTGCTTGGTGAATCGCAGTACGTACATGCACGTCAAAAGCTGCAGCGGCAATCGTTCCTAGAGGCTTAGGCTGTGCCCAGGCTGTGCCTCTGTCTGCACTATCAACAAGATGAAGAGCTGCGGAGCTGCGGACCGACCAGGATATCGACCTGCCTAAATAGGAAGTCAGAACGGCATGACGTATCCGAGAGCTGAGCTGACAAGGCTGTGGGGCCCGAAACTGCGGACTCGGTGGTTTCCGAGACGGCTGCCTCGTTTTCGCCTTGAGAAAGAATTCACGTAAACTGTGGGATAGCTTGACTGATCAGTGCCAATCATCTCGCCGACGCAACAAAAGCGCGAGCTAATCGTGCTGAAGAATGCCCAAACACAGAAAGTGGGCCGGCCAGCACCTCCTCGGAGGCTTGGACGTTGAAGATGATCGTCATGGCATCAATCCGCATTCAGCCCACGCTAAGAGAACTAGTAGTTGCGCCGTACCTAACGGGGAGCCCCTAGGATCTGCCAGGCTGCCAGGGCCATCGTGTAATCGAGGAACATGGGAACAATATTCGTCCTGTTTTTTTGCTAGAATTCCAAAAGGTCATCAGCCAACTGATGGGAATTGTAATACGGGTGCCGGCCAATCGAACAAAAGCAACAGAAGACAAGATTGGCACAACGGGAATTGCCCATCTGCCGCTAGCATCGCCCATCGGTTAATGCCGAACACGACGGCAAGCAGAGTCATTCGCGTTACACAAGTTCCCCATCCCCGAACAGGAAAGACCGAAGACGATTAACTCAAGGACCTATTGCGAGCCCAGCAACCTACCAAGATATCAGCCTTGTGTCCAATCCCCCCCACAGTGAGGCATATCGCCGTCCATAGCTGGGCGCGGCTGGGGTTGGCTCAAATTCCCAATCATGCTATACCCGCCGGCTTGTGGTCCGGTCTCAGACAGTCCAGGCCCGGGCCCTCGCCGTAGTATAAGTAAGAAAGACTGGTCGTCTCCCAACTCATTGCCCCCCCCGTACTTGACAATTGTCAGCTTTGGGCAATTTTTAAAAACCAAGGGCAGGCAATCTTGCAAGATGCGCTGGGTACTCGCCGCTTCCATCATTACCTCCGTGGCAGCCGGTGTCTCCGCCCGCGCCGGCGGCCAAGCCCTCCGAAACCCAAACGGGCGAAACACCAACGTCCCTCCCCGAGCCAGAGCGCACCCAGGCGTGCCCTTTGACAAGTGGACGCGAGACGGCCCCGTTGCCAACAAGTTTGACAATGCCGACACCCAGAGTATGTATGCCAAGAGTCGCCTCCGTGAGCCCCGTCCGATCAATGGATGGATGGATGGCGTCCACGAGATAGGAACAAAGGAAATGCTAATCAGAGCGGCGAATCAGAATACAGAGTCAACGGAACGGCCATTCCCGACGTCGACTTTGACATTGGCGAGGCGTATGCCGGCCAAATGTCCATCTCGCAAGACGTGAACGGCCCGGACAAGTTCTATTTTTGGTTCCAGCCGTCCCCGAACCCCGACGCCGACAAGGAGATTGTCATTTGGCTCAACGGCGGCGTAAGTAGTCGTGTTTCCCCCCCCCCGCGTTCCGAGGCTGATTCTCGATACACTACACACAGCCCGGCTGCTCGTCTCTCGAAGGCTTCATCCAGGAAAACGGCCCCTTCCTGTGGCAATACGGCACTTATAGACCCGTTCCTAACCCATGGGGGTGGCACCATCTCACCAATGTGCTCTGGGTTGAGCAGCCTATCAACACGGGCTTCTCGACCGGCACCGTCACGGCCCAGGACGAGGAAGACGTCGCCCGTCAGTTCATGGGCTTCTTTAAGAACTTTATCGACACCTTTTCCATGCAAGGGTACAAGGTGTACATCACGGGCGAGTCATATGCGTAAGAAGACACCCAGACCCAGTGCCTTTCCCATGTTCAGAGAATCTAGCATGTATATACATCTAACAATCTCCAAGCGGCATGTACTGCCCGTACATTGCCAACGCCATGATCAATGCCAACGACACCAAACACTTCAACATGAAGGGCATGCTCATCTACGACCCTTCCATCACCGACGACCGCGTCACCGAACTCACCCTCGTACCCTTTGTCGACTACCACCACAGCCTGTTCCCATTCAACGACTCCTTCACCAAGCAGATCCACGACATCGACAACAAGTGCGGATACGCCGACGCCCGCAGCAAGCACCTCAGCTACCCTCCGCCCGGCCACCTCCCGAACCCTCTGCCCGGCATCGACCCCAACACCGGCAAGCCTCGACCAGAGTGCGACGACTACTTGCTTGCCAATACCATCCAGCAGGCCATCACAGACTTGAACCCCTGCTTCGACATCTACCAGGTAGCCACAACCTGCCCTCTGCTGTGGGACGTCCTCGGCTTCCCCGGCAGCTTCGACTACCTGCCCAAGGGCGCCTCCATCTACTTTGACCGCCAGGACGTCAAGAAGGCCATCAACGCGCCCCTAGACAGGAAATGGGCATCCTGCGGCGGCCCCGTCTTCGTCGATCACGACAAGTCCCCGCCTTCTAGCACCACCGTCCTCGGCAATGTCATCGACAAGACCAAAAACGTCGTCATTGGCCACGGCGCCCTCGACTTTATTCTGCTGGCCAACGGCACGCTCATGGCTATCCAAAACATGACCTTTGGCGGCCAGCTTGGCTTTCAAAAGCCGCCCGTCGAGCCCTTCTATGTTCCATATCACACGACCGGTGAGCTTGGAACCATTGCCGGCGCAGGCGTCTTTGGGACTACTCACACAGAGCGTGGTCTCACCTATGTTGGCGTCTCCCTGTCTGGGCACATGGTTCCGCAGTATGCTCCTAGTGCCGCCTTCCGTCACTTGGAGTTCTTGCTTGGCCGCGTCGATTCGCTTAGCAGCAAGAAGCCCTTCACTACCGATCCAAAGTTCCCTCAACCCGATGGACCGCTAGGAAACGGCACCAATTGATCCGAATCAGTCCAAGAAGAAGCGCATTGTTCGGTGCGGTGAATGATGAGGATAACCAGAAGCTGCGTCTCGGCGTGTAATTTTTGACATGTTGTCCATAGTAACTGCGTACATATAGACAATTCTTGCCAATGCCACAAAGGATGTGGTATTTGAGATGCAATTTGTGTCATGCTGCCTCCTGAATCACGTCAAAAAATGCCGCAACGGTTCGTATTGTGAAAATAGCATTCCATATCATCATGTAATGGTTGGTATATGTGCGCTGAGCACAAAGGCAGAACGCATGCCTTGCCAATCAATTCGCTCATATTCCGCAGCCCCCTCAAGCAACCCATGCTGGATATCATAGACCAACTCCGATGTAAGTGCTTCATTCCGCAGTGCCCGAAATAAGTGTTTCCAATTCCCGTGGACTAAGTGTACTTCGCCTCCTTGACGCCGCCTTGCCGACCTTGCGATCTCGTTTCCTCTTCTCCGGCTTCTCAGTCTCTCCTGATGGTGACCGAGGCCGCTTCACAGGGTCGCCATCCATGGCCACTTCGCGTTCAGTGCTCGCTTGAATTTGCACATCAGCCACTGCTATATCACTCTTGGTTGGTTTTGCAATAGTCGGCCTTGACACGCCTCTTGTCGAGTTCCGCGCCGCGCGCAATTTGGCCCGTACACGAGCAGCATCTGCCTCCTTCTCAGACGCTGCCAGCTTCGCGGCGATGTTCGATATTGTCAGAGGACTCTGCTGTGGCCCAGGCTCAGCAGTACGCGGTAGGATTGGTTGAGATGCAACGCGGCTTTCGACTCGTCGCTGTGCCGAAGTTGTTGGGCATATGGCTGTTTCCCCGGGCTCTTCTTTGGCCGAGGAAGGCTCCCCAGGAATCTCAATTTCCTCCCGCTGAAAAGTCTCAGCATCTCGTTTTGGAAGTAGTGCATCGTCCAATGACGTTCTTGAAGGAGATCGAGGACGCTCTACCAATCTTTGGATCTTGCTAGGCAACATGGACTGTCGTGCGAGTGACCTGGGCCGGACTGGCAACGACCTCATTGACTTTGGCTGCGACATTCTATTCTGGCCCGTCTCGTCCCCAACTCCGCTCGGTTCGCTGGGAAGTGACTGCATCTCCTCGCTATTCCGAAAACCGCGGTTCCCAGCCGAACTTGAATTGCGAAGAGGACTTAGCTGTGGAGGCTCAGGCAAAGGTATGGATTCCAACGACTCATCCAAGCGCTGGCCAACTGGCTCCGGTTCAAAGCCATTTAACATGCCATTGTTGGCTGTAGTTGCGACACGCTCATCGGCTGGGACGTCGTCTTCATAATCCGTCATTTCGCTTTCATAATCCTCCTCTACCCTGTCGTATCCTTCGCCAGGAGCTTCGAATATTGGGCGATTGCCAACGCGATCGGCTGGGCAAGGGGAGCGCATGAAACGCTCTGCTTCCTCCTCCTCCTCCTCTTTGACAACGGATAGTCCCATGACGGCGTCTCTTGTTTCCTCGACATCGTTGACACGGACGGGGCTTAGTCGCAAGCCCATCTGCAGTTCCTCGTCACAGACAGATTTGCCATTAGCAGCCATTCTCTTTCGCCATCCGTCAATTAGATGCACTGCGTCCTTCCACCGGGTTTCCATCTTGACCCATCCAGTCTTGAGACGGTTGATCTCGTCTTCTCTAACCATGACTTCCTCAATGGGTACGAATGACGGATTAGTCAATATCGTTCTCATATGACCCATGATCGAGTCCAGCTCGGCTGCAATCTCTTCGCAGCTCGGCCGCTTATTAACCTCGCCATCTCCCTTGCTCTCCTCTGTGCAGCCGCTCATGTCACGTAGTTGTGCCATAGCTCGCTGCATCACGCAGAGTAATGTGTCATTCTCTTCGGTCAGGTGCTGCGCCAAGTTGGAAAGCGTCGTATTTGTTTCGCTTTGCAGCTCGTTGTCACGGCCGAACAAGCTCCCGTCAAGAGTGGTCCTGTCCCTTTCTCGGCCAGTCTCGCCAGTCACTGTGATTACTGTCACCGCCGGATTGCCCCTAGAGCCTCGCGAACGGCCAGCTTCCCCCAACTGTTTCTTCAAGGTGTCTATCTGTCGGTCGCGCCTCCGAATTTCTGTGGCACATGAGGCACGAGTCTGAGCGACGAGTGACTTCATTCGCGCCACGTCTTCTTTCAGTGCCCTGGCGTTGGCCTCTGCCGACTTGAGCTGCGTCTTCAGCATCGTCTCTGTTGCTGTTGCAATGTCGGCCTTGCGTTGTGCCTCTGCGTGCTTTTCGGTCAAACGAGCGGTATCACTTGTGAGCTTCAAGTTTTCGGCACGCAAGGCGCGCATGGCAGTGGAAAGAGATTCTCGGTGTTCGGCATCGCGCTGTACCAGTTGTTAGCTTACCAGTATGTGTATTGAGGCCAGAAGTACAGCGTACGTCGCGTCGAATGATCAAATCATTCAAAATGCTAATAATGCGTCCCGAAAGGGCTGCACCATCCTCGCCACATTTTCCTGCGCCTGCAAAGTCGATTGTGTCGCCATCGCGCAGCAATCCTCGTGAGAGAAGCTGGTTGTTGATGTACAGCGACGCTGTACGGAGGTTTTCGGCGTCGATCATGGCAGCTGTTTGGGAAAATAATTGTCAATTTAATTCCCAAATACCATGATGCTACAGACAGGCTTTGCAAGACCGTTTCTTCAGGTGGCTGTGATGCAAGACGGATTCAATGTCTCCAAAAAGGGTCCCGTGCGACGAAGTTGTGTTTGGTTGCTATGTGGGGGACATGGAAGTAAACAAAAGGAGTGAGCCCTGCTTACTAACCACCTCATCACTAAGAAAGATACTCTGGAGTCCGTAATACTTGGACCTACAGTGAGGAGGATAAGGCGCATTATTCAATTGAGCAATGCAATTGATTGATGGTCTTGTAAATATGCCTAGCTATACATTTTTATTTATTTGATCCCATATATGCACCGTTTCTGAAGTGACGTAGCGACTCCAACTTTCTGTACCTTGGACTCTGGATGATCCCTGAACCACTACGTTCGTTGGTCTAGCAGGGGTCGTGGGATTGTGAAGCTGTGCAGACTCTATGCCAATGTCTCATGAAGCTTTTTGACTGCACATACGAATGATCAATATGCATTGACTCAAAAGCAGTGGTAGCACACAGATAACTGGTGTACGATTAACGGGGACCACAGGCTTGAAACCCCGGGTATGCACGTGTAAAGCTTCCAACGCAGCTCGGAACACGACTTGAGATCCTATAATGAGTGTCAGTTTGCTCATACGTTGTCATCATCTTATTTCAATAGTACACAGTGGAACGATATCAACTTCAGACGAGGTTGAGAAGATTGTTTATAACGCGGTTGTTTTCGGCATCCGCCAAATGACAGATCAGAGTTGTTCAGATCGTTTTTAGCGCTTTGATGGCCCCGCGGCGTCATCATGCTAGGAAATGGATAATATAACAGGATAAAAAAAAAGAACTGCACATACGTTGGTGGAATTTGGCCTGATGACACTGAAGCATTTCACGTCTCCGGCTTGAACTTGCCACGTTTCTCTCGCATAGCGTCCACTTTTCGTCTGTCTTCTTCAAATCGTCGAAGAAGAGCTGCTTGTTGCTTCTTGCGCTCCTCACGGAGCTGGAAGCGGTAAAAGTTCTTCAACTCAGATTTCTTCTTGGCAGCCTTGTCTAGCATTCGCTGCTTAGCCTCTTCAGCTTCGCCACGGCTAGCAGGTGCCGCCCTTCCACCTTTTGTAACCGTGACGAAGCCATCCTCATCCGGCTCATTCCGAAGCCTTTTGGCCAATTCAATAGCCTCCTTCTCCCTACGGTTGTATGCGTTGAAGAAGGCGTGGACAGCCGCTTGTGTGGCAGATTTATCAACTCGTGAGAGTTGTAGATGCTTTGATACCCACGACGATCCTAGCTCTGGAACTTCGTCTGCCATATTTTCTCCCCAAACAGGATATTTTTTGCTCTTTTGAACTTTTGCGATCGCCTTAAGCACTAAACGGACGCTCCTCTCATCGGCAAGTAAAACCACTGCCGTGCAACTACTCCTGTGCAATTGCCTTGTCCATATCTGCGGTAATTGGGAGGCTTTTTCTTCCAGTTCCCTCTCTTCAGCTTCGACGTCCTTCATCTTTCGTTTCCTTGCAAAGCCTTGCATCTTTGTTGCTTGAGCAGGGTCAACAGGCAAGGCAGCTGTGGCTTCATCGTGGAAGAAAATGGTCTCGAAGCGGCCAGCGCCTACGAGATTCGTGAATACTGCTCTGAAGTGAGGCTCAGTGCTATCGGCTGGAACGTTCTTCAAAAAAAGACTTCGGGAGTCGTTTGCGGTAGGGATCTTTGGCGTATTTCGGCGAATGCGAACTTCGTGGACAGCGCTATGAGGGAAGGAAGGCATAGGAGGCATGCGAATCGGCAGAACTGCGAACTGGTCGCTTTGTGTGTCACCGGAAGCCATCATGAGAAGCCGGGTGTATAGCCCTCAAGATCAGGAATTGACGGCTAGGATGTGATTTTGCAGCAGATGCAGATGGAAAACCCGACATGATCTCGTAGTCTGGCAGGAAGAAAAAAAATCGGGCCCCACATCTTATCGATTACTGAGCTCTGCTGCTTCCACTGTACAGGAGATCGTTCCAAAGTCACATTTGAAGAGTAAATAGATGTGATTTTGTCAAATTTTAAATTCTATTTTAGTCAGACGAGATAGAATTTTTTATATACCGAGACGTTTCTATTGCTGTGTCATACTGCCGTAATGGGGTGTTGGAGTCAATCAGCTCGACCAAGAATCGAAACATACAGTGCGAGGACTTCTGTCAAACAACAAACCATCGAGAGTAGGTTAACATCAAGTTAAAAAAATACGAAGTTTCTGAAATTTTTCCGAATTAAATGTCTAACATATTAGCACAATCCGTAGAACGCAAGCCCGACATTACGATGGTACCATAGTACCGAAGCTGAAGTGGTCATTGAACCTCGACTAGTAGTACACGGAGATGAATGTTAGCGCAACCAGTCTCGAAACTAGCCAATATGGCCCAAATAATGCGTAGACAATAAAAGTCTTTGCATTAGCATTATATACGTGATTTGTCTCATATTTAGACTTTTTTTTCTTCGCCTTTGGCGGATACTCGAGCTGTCAACTGGTTGTTTTCTCACGATCAGCCAGCCCTATGATCGTGCAGGGCAGCCATAGCTCTCCGGCGCTAGTCCGGAACACGTCCTTTTTGACGTCAGCCGCGCACACCTTGACAAGCCCAAGCTCAAACCCACCGTCTCTGACAGCTCCAGCAATCGCCAACATCACCAGCTTGACCGGACCTGCTGCACCGTCGCTGCTAGCCATGAAGGCAATTATCGCAATACCGGCGACTCTCGCCCTTATCCTTCGAGCCTGGAGCAAGAATTCTCTTACGCCCGCTGGCCTTTTCGCCGCGACGCTCACGGCGATTGCCCATGCGTATCATCCGTGGAATCTGCCCTTTGCGCTGCTGTGCGTGTTCTTCCTGGCAGGAACACGGGTGACACATGTATGGACTGGCTTGTCTGGTGGCCGCACGGCTCCGAGTGCTAACGCGATTGGCAGATCAAAGAAAATGTCAAAGCTACGTTGACTTTGCACTCCAAGGGCAGCTCGGGCGGAGAAGGCCCAAGAACACACGTCCAAGGCATGGTGATGCGCCGCGTTCCGAGCATAGAATACAGGGGTTACTAATATGCAGGTGTATAGTGTTTGCAAATTCGTTAATGGCGTCGATACTTGCGGTCGCCCACGGATATCAACTTCGAGCCAGAGCTGCGGCATACGCCGACCCGAATACCCCCAAACCCAAAGGCAGCATGTGCTATTCATGGGGCGGCGACCTCTTGGTTGTGGGCATCATTGCCAACTACGCGGCTGTGGCCGCTGATACATTCAGCTCAGAGCTGGGCATCCTGTCCAAGAGCCAGCCGAGATTGATAACATCTCTGACGCTACGAAAGGTACCCCGGGGAACAAACGGAGGTGTCACGCTACTTGGACTGGCGGCCGGCCTCTTTGGGTCCATGGTCATAGTGGCCGCTTCAATGGTATTCCTACCTGCATGTATTCCTGAAACGGCACCAACCCTCGGCGGCGGCGCGCCTTGGACCCTAGCCCAGAGACGGGTGTTTATGGGTGGCCTCGTAATCTGGGGTGCATTAGGGAGTGTCCTCGACAGCTTCCTCGGAGGCATGTTCCAACGATCAGTCAGGGATGTGCGATCTGGCAAGATTGTCGAGGGTGAGGGTGGTAACCGCGTGCTGGTGTCTGCAACTAGCCGTGCTGCACCAGAAGCTGCTGTGGACGGTGGAGATGGAGGCAAGGCTGGAGCAGATAAGCAAGATGGCTCGGCCATTGACGACCAAGATGAGGACGATGCCAAGTACAACCTCAGGAATAAGCACCGAAAGCCCAGCTTCGGGGACCAGCGGCCGTCAAGGGTCATTGAGAGCGGATGGGATCTCTTGGATAACAACGACGTCAACTTTCTCATGGCAGCCATCATGAGCGTGGGTGCTATGGGCGTGGCTAGCTGGTACTGGGGGGTACCTGCCGAGTCGATTTTGAGTCCTTGAGATGGAACATCAGAAGGTTACATGTTGACGAAGTCCACCTTTACATACGGGCGCGCGTCTATATTTGGAAGCCATGTTCATCTAGAAGACTCGTGGCAGACAGCGTGGGATGTTCGGATGCATGCGAGTACTACAGCGTTTATGGTACAGCAGGTGGTGGCCGAGCAGATCTGGAATCTGGGGAAGTTTATCCTTCGACTCACAAGGGGGGGTGGGTGTGTTCCGAACATCGGAAGCAACTGATAAGGTCGAGCTTGAATTTGAACGATTTTGCCCGCCGCTGCTCATCTCTTCAGCCCAATACTGCCGAATCCTTTGGATGACAACTTTAGACAGACACCCCCTTCTTAGAGAACCAATTGATCCATTCCTCCCTCGAGGCAGAACGACATAGTAGTAGCCCCCTGATCGAGATTAACCGACAGCCCGGGCCGAGATACTTGTTGCCTGACACACGAGCTCCATTGTATGCCAGCCAGACTACCGAGTTTGGCAGCGAAGCACATGTTAGAAACTTCACGCACACTGCTGACTACCGAAAAATAAGGTGAACAAATCACATCACGGGTAAAATAGACTTATCAGTAGCCAGCCGGAGGGTCCTCAAGGCTCCGCAAAGTGTCTGGTCGCACGTTAGCTCCTCGAGATCCCTCGGTCCGGGATCGGGAGAGTCAAGGAGAGAAAAAATGGGGGGAAGGGGAGAAAATAGCACTGGGTGAAGAATCATCCTCCTCTTAGATTGCTTGTGATTACAACCTCCCTCCATCGTCAAAGATTGGGGACGGACGCGTTTGCCAATTGACGTGTCTGGAAATCAGGAGCTGTCATTCTGTGTTGTAATATGGATAGGATGAATGGATCTACACCAAAAAAGCGTAAAGGGGGAGGGGCTAGCGTTCTCTGGGGCGGGCAGGAAACAGGGTCTGACCCATATGGAGGGGTGCGATATCATTGTATGTATGTACATATGCGGGGGGGCGTATCAATTGTGTCTGCTCTTGCCTTTTCCCTTTGCGCAGATCGGGAATGCGCAAGGCACGGCTGGTCGGCGAATCTACAAGCACCACCACAAGCGTTTGTTTGAAGATCCCGTCCAGCGCTCTAGGACTTGACGGGTAATTTAGAAAAGAGATATGTGCAAGGAATCTCATCGTAGCAATGTCACTGTTTCGAGCGATTTATTTCGCCTCAAAGGGTGGCCGTCACTCGGGCTCTTGATGCCGAGACAAGACAAGAAGCTATGCCATGTATATTCGTGGCGTCACACATCACAACGCGATGCATCGCCGAAAAAAAAGCCGCAACAAATGCAGGGCATCAGTAGTTCAAACCAAAGAAGAAAAGGAGAACATCTGGCTTCCTGAGTCGCGCTGCATGGCGAGTGACTGTGTTGTGATGTGAAACCCACGATCGGGTCACAGTACGCATGAGCGGGAATAGGAGCAAGATTCACAATGTCAAAAAAAACATGAAAATTAAAAAATTCCCCATAACGTTGTTTTCGTCAACCCGCGATGCCCCGAAAAGACCCGTTTTGGATCGACTAGTACTAATGTCTAGCGATTTCGGGGGGTTCTTGCACACAGCTAAAAATCGCGCCAAAATTCTACTACAAAGCACACAGACAATATCAAACGCTTAAGCTCGCGAAAGTTGCGGGGTCATGGGGATGATGTCTGGTGCTCTTCAGCGAATCAGCGTTTGACGATAAGGTGCACAAGTGTTGACTTGACATGCTTGGGGGGAAGCCAGGGGCCTGGCCGGGCTGGGGTTTAGCGGCGACGACAATGGAGCCAAAGGGCCGGTTGGGAAGAAAGACGAGAAAAAAATTCCCAAAGTAAGTAAGGACAGGCGTGGTTGTTTCCGACAAGCCGAGCTTGGAGAGACTCGGTGTGAAAGTTACGTGATTGGATTTTGTTGGGGGACCTGAGGAAGCGCGGTTGCAAGGCTGATGGCATGGGAATGCAGGTCTGGGGCGCGCCTCCCCAGATTGCGCAGGCTGACGGCGGTAACGGTGTCTCATGGTGTGGTTTTAGCCCTGCATGTGGTGCGTAGGAAACTCAAATGCGGCTGCTGGGCTAAGCGGCAGGAATGGAGCGAAAGGGTCAATTATTAACTTGTGGCATCTGCTCTCACATGCCCGATGAAGAATGACATGTGCGGGAGCGCCCAGAGCCAAACATTGAGGAGTCGAGTGTCGTGTGCCGCCGTTCTGAGCCAAGACGGTGTCTGTTCCGCCCCGGGGATGGAAATTGCCAAGGTTCCTGCAACCCCCGGCTTTTGCTGGCCGGGCTGGGGCACTTGTGTCCGGAGACGAGCCAGGCTTTGAGACGGGTGTTGTTGATGCAAGGTAACAAAAAGGAACATTCGGTGCCTGCCGCAATCATACCGAGGGGTGCCGAGTCGGCGCAGGTTGCAGCGAGAGAGGGTGTGGGAGAGGAGCGTTACTGTACGGAGCACTTGACGTTGCCAGAAATAGTGTTCGCGTTCGACTTGAAGATTGATGATGATCGTCGTCGTCGGCCGCCGTGACGAAAGAAGGGCACATGTGCACCGTCTGGTGACGGCCAAGACATTGGGAAGGTTCAAACGGTGAGGCCGCGCGCCACAATGCCCAGCCTCCCAAGACCAGCCAAGGTTTGGGGGGCTTCGTATCGAGGGATCGCATCACGGCTCGTTTACGGGCGGAGTAATGTCAAAAATAGCATCGCAAGGTGTTGCCGACCAATCCAAGTCCAAAACGGCGCGCACAGCCTCACCAGGCGTCAAGTTGGGCGTCAATTACTGTGGCCAGACGGTATGCTCCTGCCAAACGTCCGCAAGGTCAGCCTCCAGGCGCTCATTCAGCGCCCACCAGCGCCACCCGCCACAGGTGCCGCTGGTTCACCTGGCCAACTCGGCCATTTCATGTCCGGTCGACTCCACTTATATTTGACGATGCTACACGGCCGGGTGCCTGGAAAGCGGCCGTCCAGAAACGACCAGACGAGTCAAGGGCCAGCGGCGATTTACATTTCACAGCAGTGCTTCGGCAGTGTAAGTACTAATTATGAAAATACAGGGTTCCTTGCAACGTCTGCAAGTGAAGTCACGCCCGCTCGAATTTGATGGCCATGACGATTGCCGTGCAGTGTTTGAATTGGATCAATCTGGAAAACTATGGAAAACCGGTTTGAGGCGCATCCAGTGTTGATGTCAGCGTGAGCGACCGACCACAGTAGACTGAGCGGGGTGCGTGGGTATTCAATGTCGATTCTTTTCCCGATGTCAACTGGTTCGTTTTGTCATACCCCAACAATGACGACTGAAGGCATTCGACGACTCAAGTCCCTTTGGCCATGTTGCATTTGAGCGTAAGACAATTTGTAAAGGAACAAAATTGCTTCATCATGGCCAGAGCACTGCATCAATAGTGCCCATCGATGTGACACCTTGGGGCCAGCCTGATTCTTGGCACAGGGAAAAAGAGCAACTGAGAGGAAAACGGCGGTCCAAGGCCACCCCGCCATTTTCTTTAAACGCCAGCAAAAAAGCACGTGCTTGTACCGGACGCCCAAAACTGTAAGCGAGGTACATCTCCACAGTACCGTGTCTGGGCAGGCAAAATGAAAGTGGCTTCAACGGTCGGTGTAATACGGTCAATAGGTGACGTCTGGTCAATCTTGTCGGGTGACACACAAGGTCAACTGGTCCAGTCCAGCCCCTTTCAAGCAGTGTCCTCGGGGGCTGTCTGCTGTCTGGTCACTGCAACACACAGCAAGCCCGGGCCGCACACCAATGGTTACCACCATAACCTTGATGCAGGCGGCATGTATGCAAGTTTGCTTTTAAGTGTAAATGAGAAACCTATCAGTTATAACGTGCAACATGTAGCCTGACGGATAGCAGCGCATTTGCACGGATCAGCTTGGCCTACGTCGTCGATGTTATTTGTGCCATGGCCCAGGTTCCCGTCCATGTCTCTTCAATGCTTCTTGAGATGCGTCTGGACCCTTGATTTACGCGCGCCGCCGCTACCCGCGAATGCCCTGCAGTGTCAGTCCTGTACATATCGACATGATGTATGTATGTAGCACTCTGGTCCTCTGGAAGCCCTTCTCTGGCCAGGCCACACAAACGTCGGACCGCCAAGAGAGATGGTGAACAAGACGGCTAATCCTGGCAAACTGTTGGCAAATAGTACCGTGGAAGGGCGTGCAAGCGTGTGTCATGGGCCTGTTACGAGTCATAGAGCGAAGAGAGTGTCGCGCCTTTGTTGGAGACGAATCAATGACTGCTGCCAGGGCCTTGGCTTCACGATTTGACCATGAACGGTTTGGAGCATCAATGATGCGTTGCACATACCGTACACTGTCATCCCGCTTGGCACAATAGCAATTGTAATAGCGTCAGCACGACTGGTCAGCGATGGCTTTGACTGACCACTTGTATTCTCCTGATAACCCGAGGCCGTTTCCCCAGACTATCTATCCATCTGATGGCCGAAGCCGCAGACGGGCAGAGCACAGTCCCAGAGGTCCATCGACCAGTTGACATGTCTGGTTCAAATCGATGTTCCATGTCCGCCTCTTGTTGGGCAGCACGCCACGTAGCGAAGCGTTTCAGGGCTTTTCAGGGCCTTCAGGGCTGTGAGCGCGCCCAGGGCTGGACGATTGCAGCCAGCGCGCCACTGAGTCTTTGACGGAACTTGACGAGTCCCCACTGCCCCTCCGTTCGCAGGGCAAGAACCGAGGTACTGTACCCCAGCGCAAAGTACTCCAAGTACTCCGATCCCAGCAGTACATACACGACACAGCTAGTCCCGTCGCCCTCTCCGAAGGGCAGGCTCCGGGTGTGTCCCAGGCGCGTCCCAGGCTCCCCCCCGTCGTGGGGCCTCCCAATTGTCGACAAAGGCCAATGACACGATCCAATCTGGTGGACTCTTTGGGGCTTGTTGCGGCGAACACACGGCGGCGCCCACTCACGGCCCAGCACCGGAACCAGCGACCAAGCCACTGCGT